CTCTTTGTTAGATATCTCTTTTGTTAGACAAAACAGTATGTAAGTTTATTCATTTCTTAATTAGCTGAAGAAAGCAGACATGTTGATCTCTATTTAAAAATAGTGCTGAGGTGCCTATGCCAGTGTTGTATGTACTATTTACAGTTGCTGCTTTGCTTTAGAAAATTTGTATCAACGGAACTCTTGGGGCACACATTCCTCAACCCTTGTTCCAACTATTTGCTAGTTTATAGTAGGCAATAGTAAGCTGACATCCCCAAACCCCTTCAGATCTAGGAAGGAAATGTTAATACAGAATCAATCATTCATTCATTCATCTAGGAAGTCTCTGCTAAAGAAATCTGCATATGGCTTTAAGACTCACCCACCACTCAGAATCTCACTTAACCTCTCAGCTATTTTTTTTATGGCCAGCATCATTTCAGTTTTATGAGCCTACCTACTAATTTATGAGCCAGCATACAATAGTTCATTTTCTGTGTGGACCTCCTACCTACCGTATACTATCGATATATGAAGGCTACAATATCTCACTGTGCTTATTAAGCTTGAATCTCTGTTGCCTCTAAACCAGGTGCAGGTAGTTATTTACATTTGGGAAAAACAGCTGTAAACATTTCCTTTTCCTGCTTGGTAGCCTTTTATAAACACTTTGCACAGGTGTAAATGGCCAAACAGGCTTGTGGCAGTGAAGAAACAGTGCCCACAGCCTATAAAGAGCTCAGTTTTCTGTTACATTGCTTTAGCCAGCACTCAAGACTCTCTTTCATTGGGGTTAATCTTTTCAACTTAATCTTTATTGTTTTCTGTGCACACAATATGTTAACCCAGGAAAAATTGAACAGAATTTTACAGTCACATCTTCAAACTTTGGCCTCATGCTCCAATGGCCACTGATGCCATTGGCATGATACCAACAGAAAACAAGTGTAATGGAATGTAAGCAGTATCTCAGCATCTTTTCTCAAACAAATCAGTCACCTTTTTTTGTCTGCCTCAGAATTTGATTTCACATAAATGCTTAATTGCTAATAATAATAATTAGTATAAATATGTATATACAAATAATACCATATTTATAATTTATAAAGTACTATAAACATATTAGAAATAATAATTATATCCTGCTAAACATAAATATCAGGTTTGTAATATTAATAAATAATAAATGCAGTAATTAACAATTTAGAAATACACCTCAGGTTTTTTTTTAATAAGGAGGAGAAGAGTGAGTGTAGTGATGTGAACACAATAAACAGTTTTATTGGCAATGTCTTCACTTCACATACTCCTTTTTTAACTTCAGTCTTTGTCCTTTCCCACAGTTGTTCTCTAACAGAAGGCAACCACCTGAGGAAGTCAGGGAAGAAGAAAAAAAAGATGACCTTACGGTCTTTCACTCCTGTTTATACCAGTGTCTTGATTCCAAGCCCCCCTGGAGCAAAAAGGTATATTTGAAGGCAGATTTATGTCCTGCCCTCCTTGGTAGGACATAAGTGAAATTCACAGCAGCACAGACCCATAACACATAAACCTAGAGCTGCTGTTCAACTGGTAAACACGTATCCTGAGAATTTGAGGAGTTTATGGTGAAATAGTCTGTCTTTACTAATAGTAACTGTTAAATTCTAACTTTAAATGACTGAATCCTAATGAGTTACTGAAAACTCTGTATGTGCGCATGTACACAAACACATCATTTGCCTTGCTGATCTTGACTCAGCAAATTCTGACTAAGTTGCATAAAATTTGCTTATGTGGTATAGCTTTCAAGATTAGGCTCATCTTAAGGAAAGGCAAAATTTAATTTGCCTAGTTAAAAAAAAAAAAAACTACGAAAGAGAGAGGGAGAAAACAGTACATGTACCACGTATGCTTCTGTATGTTTTATATTAGTCACTAATACACACTATCTGTTCTAAGTTCATTAACCCAATTGCTCACCAAAAGTGTCTTTATATAGTTACATTTGCATGTGGAATAAGCTAAAATGCCAAAGATAATCTTAGTTCAGAAAAAGATGGGTCCAACCTTTTAAACACACACTTCTTGCGTTTTTATTAAATGCAAAACTTAGAAGCTACTGTAGAATCCAAAAACCATACCATAAAGGGATAAATGCTGGAATCTTCATAGGCATGAAAGCACTGAGCACATCACCAAGATAAGTCCATTGAAAATTTCACGTCCAAAACTATGCTTTCAGGATTCAGAGTTATGTATTAACATTACAAAAACCTTGAGAGGTGTCTAGAATTCACTGGGACAATGAAAAAAACCACCTGCTAAGGAAGCGCGTAGATGTATCTATTTCAGCCAACACGATGCCAGTTTGACTGTTTCCCTGACTCTATAGTGTAACACATTTGTTTCTCCTCTTTGCAGTGAACGTCTTTTCCGACAGCTGTGTGCCATACACTGGCTTTTGGAAGCTTTGACTCTTGAATCCAACGGTTCGATGCGTTCCATATTAACCTGTTGGAATCCAACGTATGTGCACAATGCATGATAGTAGATGGAATGAGGAAATTGGGATCTCTTGTCCTTTATATGTTGTTTCTCTTCTTTCAAGTAATAACTATTTGAGTGAAATGTTATTAATTCCATGCCATGCAACATAAACAAATTTTGCAACGACTTTGCCCCCTGTGCAGTCAGCAGGGAGTTGTTCAGTCAAATCAGTAGCACAGCATGGTCCTTCATTATTGCAAGTTGCAGAACCTAGGAGAAAATACTGAGCTATCCCAGCCAAATTTAGTTGGGTTTTCTCTCCTTTTTCTCTTTTGGTTAATAATTATGCAAATTAAATACATGTAGTAATATATGTGCGTATATTCCCATATCCTTCCCTTGGAGGGTTATCCCAGTGAACTCAACAGAAATTCCATATACATTATAATTACAGAACAAAGCCGGCTATTAAGTGATACTTAATAGCTGGTTTTATTCTATCAATTATGTATGACAGTGATGGGTCCTTGTAAAAGCTGCATTGTTTCTGAACATTTATACTGTTAAAAGTAAATATTAATTTAAGTTCCCAACACTTTAGTCAATATAATCATGTTGACATAACATATATTTAAATTATTGATGAGTGTTTGGTAAAACAGTGAACCGTTTATGCTCTGATTTGCAGGGCAGAACTCTTCAAAGCTGTTCTGGTCTCTCTGTATATTCTCAGTCAAGACAAACTGTGCCTATGTATAACAGGGGTGGCAGAGTAGCATTATATAGAATTAGCCTGATAAATTGGAGGGGAGGATCAGTCCAGTATGTATTGTGGATGGGTTTTGCACCCCTTTACATGTGAGGACCCATCAACAGACTGGGACAAAAGAAACAGTTTGTCAGCAAGTCTCACAGATACAGGCTGACAGCAGAGTATAAATGCGTAAGGCTCTGGATTAATTTCCAGGTTCTGAAGTAGTGCACTCTCGTGGCATGCTTCCTTCTGCTCTCTGTTGCTGTCTCTAACCACCACTCCTCTCCCTCAATGTCATTTGAACTGATCTGCATACACACATTCTTCATTACACAGTAACCATGAAAAATTAGGCTTTCCTTTAGTACATTTAGATCATATAGTCTCTGTCTGCACGGAAAGAGATTTTTTAAAATGTGGTGAAGGAAGCAAGCTTAGAACACTAACCTGCTTTGTAAAACCTTTGCCTGGTTAGATGGGGACTGAATGATAAATGAGACTACCTCAGCAGTGACCTGTTGTTATACCACAGCTGCAAGGACTGCAGCTTCCACATTCACCTTTGTCAACATGATGTAACATTTAAACTTTTGGACTAGTACAGGTCCTCACTCAGCCAACAGCACTGAAAAATCAAACTTGTATGAACCTGCTGTCATTTGTATCCATGAAATCTTGCTACACTGGACAAAATTCTTCAGTACTCGCACAGAGGAAGCTGAGAGCATAATCTGGCCCAGTACACGCATGATAGTTTGTAGAATGACTGTGCTTTCTTTAGGTTCTTCACTTGCGACTATAACATACTCATGGCTTATACACCTTGCATTGTCTTTCCATTTCTTATAAGCCAAGATATACATCATAGTAGTGGTCAGCCACCATTTACTCTCCATTTATTGCATTTCTTAAAAGAACTTATAATAAAAGCCAGACACTCAAAATGGAAAAATAATTGAATTGTTTTCACTTAGGGACCCTGGTGGTTGTAAAAAAACAGTAAAAGAAATCGAAGAGGAAAAGTTAGCAACATACATGTGGGAGCTCTTTTTTACAAACACAAAGGTAACTTCATTGTTAATTTCTTCCTTGGGACCTAATCCAAATTTTCAATCATTTGTTCTGTTGCTTAACTGAACTCACTGATACCACGTTTTATGCTCTGGATCTTGTGACTGCAGAGTACTTGTCTCTCTAGGTTTTGAAGAATAACAATTTGATACTAGGTAAATAGGAATGTAGCTGATAGAAACTGTGGCTTGGTCTTAGTGATAAGTACTGATGTGGGAAGAATTCAATATTCAGCTAAAACATAACTAGCCGTTTGTATGCATTTGCCCCCTTTTTATGACCCAGAGTCATGTAGCAGTACTTGTTCACACAAATAGGTCATTTCTAGTCAAATGGGGATTTCAGACTGGTATCCTGGAGGTCTTGTTCTAGTAAATTCTAGTTATGATTTGCTTGGTTGCCTTTTTTACACAGAATTTAAAGCTAAATTTGGAAACAAATTGAGGCCTTTAAAGAAAGCAGAATTCACTTGCCACTTTCAAAGCAAAGCCAAGGAAAGAAGAAAATCAGCAATTCAGATGAAAGCCTTTTAAAAGAAAAGTGAAGTTAATACCTGAGAGGAAATTAAACGCTAGAAAATTGTCTGTAACGCTTGGTAACTCTTTTACTATCTTTCTGAAACTACAGAAAGACTTTTCTTTTTGGAACTGCTGAAGTGACTGGAGGAAAATTAAGGGGGAATGAGTGATGCTTAGGGAGTATGATTATGAGAACTCAATAAAGAACCAGTGGGTTTCTCACCCTGTAGCACATCTCACATTTTGATTTTCAGCAGTTTGCTTAAGCTTTTAGTTCCTTGCTTTGCCAGCTATAAGGCTACATTAAACAAGTTTTGTGAAGTGCTTTTAGACCCCAGGTGAGGCACTCCTAGAAATATGAGCTATTGTTACATGCAAGCTATTTGCTCTTGGTATTTGTCAACACCTGCAGCTCGTACCGTCATGACATAATAATTAAAATGATTCAATAGAAGATTACAATTTCTGTTGGGGAATAAGCAGCAAAAGTTGTGAAACTTTTAAAAGACAAAGATTGTGGGTTTATGCAAATATTCTTCCTGCTGTTAGCAAACAGGGAGGGGGAAGACAGCAAGTCGCATAAATAACAGAGTTGTTTCTAAATATGAGGCTTTCTGATTTTTCCATACAGTGTTACTGGTTCTCTAAAGTCGGTTCCAAATGAACATGAGCAGAAGAAACCAAAGTTTCTTAAGGCCAATAGCATCCTGGGTCGTATCAGAAATAGTGTGGCCAGCAGGTCTAGGGAGGTAATTGTCCCCATGCACTTGGCACTGGTGAGGCCGCACCTCGGATACTGTGTTCTGTTTTGGGCCCCTCACTACAAGAAAGACACTGAGGTGCTGGAGCGTGTCCAAAGAAGGGCAACGAAGCTGGCGAAGGGTCTAGAGCACAAGTCTTATGAGGAGCAGCTGAGGGAACTGGGATTGTTTAGCCTGGAGAAAAGGAGGCTGAGGGGAGACCTTATCGCTCTCTACAACTACCTGAAAGGAGGTTGTAGTGAGGTGAGTGTCGGTCCCTTCTCCCAAGGAACAAGCAATAGGACAAGAGTAAAGGGCCTCAAGTTGCACCAGGAGAGGTTTAGGTTGGGTATTTGTTGCCTTCATAAGGCGCAGCGACCTGGTTCAGGAACGGCACGGCGACAAACACTGAGTCGCTCGGGCCATCAGCACACAGACACCAATGTGGTGGATGGCAAATGGCATTTATTGTTAAGCAACACAGCAATATATACCCTAGGTTCATGATGTCACTTCCTTCTGCTTACATCACACACTAAATGCTATTGGCTACTAGGAGAGGGGCCTTATCTTTCCGTACAGCACGATATCTTCTGGCCGCCGAAACCTGACTTCCGTCTACATTTCCCCCCTCCCTATGTGTAATTAAACTAGTTAAATGAATTAGTGTGAAGAGTATATAGATGTCACAACCTTGGATAAAAGTGTGCTAAATATATCGTGTGCATAATCTATG